AGTTAACTTCGAAAATAATTCTAACGAGGGAAGGCTTCCAACTGGCCCACCGCTTTTGGACTAAATCTTAGTGGACTATAGGTAATCAAGGGTGCTGATTCCGAATATCACAATGATTTTTGCGTACGGACCTCCAGAGATCTCGGTTTTTGGAAACCAGTTTTCCAGAAACTCTAAAAAAGAACCCAAACCTTTCTTAATAAGGCCTGATTGTAGCTTGCACATTTGTAATTAGAATGAGACATCTTCCACCTCTGCACGACCTTTTCTGCAAGGTTATAGAATTTACACAAAAAGCCCTAAAACTACTTTCTTCTTATTTCTATAGCTTTTAGCTGATATTGAACGTTTAGAGCTTTTGATGTAAATCCTATAACTTTGCAAAGAAAGGTCGTGCAGAGGTGGGAGATATCTCATTGTAATCACAAATGTGCAAGCTACAATGGGGTCTTATTAAGAAAGGTTTTGGTTCTTTTTTAGAGTTTCTGGAAAACTGGTTTTCCAATTTCGGTCAAAAGTATTCAAATTTCAACAAAACTGAAACATCTCAGTAACGAAACAAAATTTCAGAAAAAGCGATGCTTACTTTTATTACTCGCGTACTCACGGTTACAACGAGATACAAATGAGAACTATATGTCTATAGAGAAAAAACTAGATAGGTTTCCAAAATGAGAAATGGGCTTTTCAACTCTCTTTTTGGTGCCAAAATTATAATGGTAGAAATGTGTTTAATTGTCTGCTGTCAATATGGTATTCATTTTATCAACATAGTCATTTTTTATCGTCTTTAAAATGTTTATAAGAGGAATTTTCGTCAGCCATTTTTGCATATATTCATGGTTTTCCAGAGCAATACGATGAGCATTGTCATAGGCATCGATCCAATCTGGCCGCTCACTAGCCATTTCGCTCGTTATCGCCGTTGACGATCCGCTCGTCGTACTATTGATGCCCATAACGGGCGAAAAAAGCGTTGTAGTTGTAACAGTAGTATCAGTGAATTGACTTCGAAGTTGCACTACATCGGGCGAGAGCAGTAATTGTCGAATCTCATCATTCGCTTCTTCTGCGGGCGTTAGATTGTGATTATTTTGAAGTATTGTCAGAACACCACCGTGTACCATCAGTGTTTGAACAATGTTGGCGTGATCGAAGAATGCGGCTGCATGCAGAGCTGTACTTCCGTTCGGCTCGAATCGATTGAGTTGGAACAGGGAGAGTTGAGGTAGAAGTTCTTTCACTTTGTCAAGATTTTCATACCGACAGGCGAGATAGAACTCACTAAGCCGCTTCTCCTGTTCTCTGGACATCTAAACGACAATTTGTGTCAGGTCAATTGAGCGCAGCTTTACCTTATCGAGCTTGTTAGAGAACGATCTCCGACTCGTCGATGACCACTGTATCAGCGAAGTTTTGTACGAAGAACTTTCGTGTTTTTATAATATTTTCTTTCATGCTCTGTGACTTTTATTTGATTATTTAGCTAACAAAAAGACAGAATATGTGTGCTCTTGGTAAGGCTGAAAGCACGTGTTCGAAGGTGAGGTGAGCAAATAGAGACGAATGAAGGAATGTAATATTTTCAATAACGATGGCTGTTATATCAGTCGTCACTGACATTCTTTCCGCTTCCTCTTTTCTGTTCTGATGACAACAAAGAATGTTGACTCAATTCTGGTTGGGTCAACATTCTTTCTTAATATATATATATATATATATACAGTGTTTGTTTGTACAAAGGGGAGGGTTTTTGTTTTGACGTTTTGTGAGTTTATTCATACGAATAAAGTTTGTGCGGGTAACCAATTGGTGCACTAGCCGGCTTACTGTCAATTCAACATCACAGTAAGTGCAAGCAATCCAAATAATCCAATCACTATCACTAGCCGGCGTGTTTTTATTTCATTGTGGCATTATGAATATGAATGGAGCACGTTGATTTATTATCGATCAATACAATATTAAAAAATTTACCCGGATTGGGATATGTAGAGACACTGTTATTCCGGGCCATTTTGAAAGGTGTAAGAAAATTTAGTGGCACAAAAACGGAATATTTAACTGATTGGCTGTTAATGCTCAATCATAAATTTGATTCGTGTGAATCAACGGAAGAGCAACGTCGAAAGTGGGCACCGTTATTTTCCTGTGATGATGCATTAAAGTGGCACAACCAAAACGGGTTTAAGATCGATTCATGGAGTGATTATCAAAACTTATTGACACACGAGTTTGTTTTATTACCAAAAAAATCAGTGAACATTGGTCTTTTAGACGGACAAAAGTGTTCTAGAAAAGGAAATAAGAACTGCACAATCGCAGTCAGAATTAGCAGTGATATCGAAGAGTACTCCTTTACCAAACCCACATTCAACGCCATTGTTTCCTTCTAACACAAAGTCACTGGTATTACAACATCGTAATTTATTACATGAATGGCCTCAATTGCCCGAAAAATTGAGGCTACAAAGGAATAACGTCCGTTCGAGCTCAAATTTTTACCAGATGCTCCTACATGTATATCCTACTTATGTTAGATGCAAAAACTTGTGAAATCTTTCCTAGCTATTTTACAGGATGTCCAAAAATCCAAGATTTCTCCGGTTTTAAGCACCCGTGTTATACTTTGAAGAAAAAGGTGATATCCAGAATCAAGGTGATATTCGGAATCAGGTCGTCAAACTACATCGAACTACATATAAAAAGTGTCGTTTCTGTGAAAGTGAATTTTAGAGCTTTTCCCTAAATCACAGATTTTTGACCGAAAATCCATTTTTAAGCATTCATATTACACTTTGAAGAAAAACTGAGATGATATTCAGAATCGGCGCATTAAACTACATCGAATGCTCAACATATTTTTCAAAAAAAACAGTTTTTGAAAAAAAGGCAGGGGTCCCCAGCTATATTTTTTCGAAAACCTTTTTTTCGTAAACCCCATTTATTTTCTGAAAAACGATTTTCTGAGTGGTAAACTGTCATTTCTAGTCAAATGAAAGTCGTTTCTAAGCAAAACGGCCTCATGTCCGCCTGCTTATGCTAAAGCTGCGCACTGTGTGAGGTGGATGAATAATTTTTGGCCCACTGTATATAATCATGTGGTAGTGCGACGGACGTACATACATACAGTCCTGTAGCAGTGTGACAGACGTACGTACATATAGTCATGTGACAGTGTGAGAATTACATAACTCGTGAACTCATGCTGACTTGACTTCTATTTCATACTTGGCGTCGAAACACGTACTGATGGTGATAAGCTTTTGTTACCGCTGAAAAGCTATAGCAACTGCTTCTGTAAACTAAGGTGGAAAATATGAAAGTAATAAGATCGAATTACAACAGAATGAATAATAATTCCGGCAGTACATTCAACTTACAGACAATGGACTTAGTGAATCGATGCGATTCACGTTATTTATTCTGTTTTCTACGTGCGTCTCATAAATTGAAGAAATAGAGGATAGAAAAACATTGTAGAAACAGTTCAATTTCCTTGTGTTAAACTCAACTGACCGTTCAGCATATATGTATACGTATTAGTCATTCAAAGGATAAAAAATACTCTTTATCCATCAAATGCCAAAGGAAGAGGGTTTACTCTCAGTTCGTCCCAAATTGCTCACTCTCACATCTGCCCACCCCTTTGATGTTGTTTGATCTTACAAAGCCAATTTGGGACGAACTGAGAGGACACCCTTTAATCAGTTGAAGAGGTTTCCTCATGACTTTACTTTGCAGGTATAGCATATCATTCGATTGATGTGTCACCTCTAACGAATATATGCCTCTTCCTGGTGTCCTCTCAGTTCGTCCCAAATTGGCTTTGTAAGATCAAACAACATCAAAGGGGTGGGCAGATGTGAGAGTGAGCAATTTGGGACGAACTGAGAGTAAACCGATTAAAGTCGTTCGTACTCATATTTTGTTAGTTAGCAATATATATTGTAGTAAGAAAACGAGTAACGAGCTTCGCTTTGACGCGACTTCTTAGATGAGTCATGAGAAATCCTGTTAAATTCCAAATTTCGTCCTTTTATCTGTAAATCGGTGAAGAGCTGAAACTCACAGGACACGTTAACTTTAAAGCAAGTATCTCTTTCCGTACATTTCATTAATAAGATCACATGTGTTAAAAATTAATGCATATGAACGCACTAATGGTCATCCATGAATACAGTCATATGCATTAAAATTTGATGTATTTGCATTGGCTTAAATAATTTTAACGCATTTGAACATATTCAAATCTTTAACGTTGAAAAGCATTGCGTGAGTTTATATGACCTTAAAAATAAAAAATCATCAAAACGTTTTTCGTTTATTTCATTTTAACGCGCTTAATGTTTAAAATATTTTAATATGAGCCTTAAACGCATTTTTTCATTAGACTAAACAATCCATTTTGATTCGTTTTATCGCATTAATGATATTTCAATAGATTAGAACTTTCTCGCTTACTTCTGATATGCTAAATTCAACGCATGTCAACACACTAGTACTTTCTTTTTAAGTCAGTTAACGCATGTGCATTTATTAATATTTAATGCTGTTAAATACGTTAAAAAATGGTCCTGGTGGAAAACATCGAATGCAAGACTGTCGAAAGGGAAAAACGTCGAAACTAGAAATTTGCAGAAGGAAAATGTCGAAAAGAGAACGTTGAAAATGATAATACTGAAGAGAAAAGATTTCTGTACTGTGGTAGTAAGTAAAGAAGATATTTTATTTGTATGTAAATAAACACCACATCCACGTTCATTGCAAAACGAATACTTTTTTTATCCTGTTGTTTTATTGCATTTGAATACATATTGGTTATAAATCAATAATGGTTTGCCTTTATTCGATGTTATAAACGATACTACTGGCTCCATTACTTCACGTTGGCTGATAGCGGTGTTTCTTTTTCTACATGCATGTGGACGTCATATACATGCAAGAGAATAATGCACGTTGTCTACACAGCAATTTCTTCTTTTTTTGAACGTACTGTGAAGATGAAGACCATTTTTACTCGCATTTTTTGTATGTTTTAATCTGCATTTTCTTACCGATTTGTCATAAAAAAGTTTAAAAAGTTAAATAATTTGAACCTTTAACTTCGAGGTAAGTACACAGCAATTTGAGACGAAGAAAGAGGAAGAGTTAAATCATCCTTCGTTTTTTTGTCACAAAACTGAAGTATTTTTCTCATCAGCAGTTTTGAAAGATCTTTCTTCTCAGGTAACGCACCGAATCTAAGGTCGTCCGCCTCCTTGAGTAGGCTCAGTTAAGGATATTGACTGAGCAAGATCTTCAAATAAAAATGCACAAAAGTGAGATATGCACCAAATGGTTGATGGTTATTTATCATCCCAATTGTGAGTTTCTTCGATGTAAAGTCGCTTTACCGTTGGCGACCTTCAGGATGTAGCAAGTGTCAGTTTGGTCCTGTTTGATACACAGAGGATTGGGCGCCAAGCTATACCACTTCATTCACAGGATGCTAGATTGGCTCTAGCAACGAACTGATATTAGCGTCTAGTATTTACGGATACGCTTCTCTAGAAGTCCAAGCGTGAATGTTTTCTTCGTATGTCTTCGTATGCAATAAACGTTACCTTATCGGTTAAACACACAGGCGAACCTTAAAAGACGTCAGCCTTTCTCACTTTCATTTTGAGATGAAATTCCAATCACATGTCGAACCAAAACTAAGAAATACAACGCGGAGCGAACTAAGTCAACCTGAGGGGGACATTTTTCTCAAACAAACACATCACAGACTATCGATAAATTACATTCAATAGAGTAGCATGAGTGAAGTGAATAGTAGAAAGTCAAAATTGCTGTGTCATGGGCTTTTCACTGGGAATAACTTCTTTTCCTTTATAGATAAAGATCATGGCATCGTGAGAGTGCCAGATGATCGAGAAAGACTAAAAAGCTGATTGCATCATGTTCTCAACGAAAAGTCCGAGCAGAACATGGTGTAATCAAGTCTAAAAACAAAGCTAGAGTAGTTTAAAAAGCAAAAATTCGATAATGCTTGACTTTCTTAAGATATACACATGAGTTTCTTGAGATATGCACATTGTTTTAGATATCTCTCTCTTCATGCGCATACGTCAAGCAACTCAAGTGCATGGGACAAGAAAATGAGGCACATACCTCAAGCGTTTTACATGAATAAGAAATTCATGTGCATGGAGACAAATCTTGAGGTATGTGCTTGGGGAAAAAAGCTAGGGAGTGAAACAAAAGCAAAAATGGTATGTTTTCTTTTCACTCAACACCTTTGTGAAATGAGTTTCTTTATTTATTTACA